TACGAAGTAACTGGCTTTTAAACTGTTGAGTTGATTTGATATTCTGTTGTATACTCTTATATATGATTTTTAACTGCTCGTCACTGCACTCAGACCTTATTTACTTTAGTTACTTATTGAGTTGGCGTACTTACGTTACTCCCTGCACCTTGTGTGCAGATTCAGGTGCCCGAGCGGCACAGTGAAGGTTCCCAGCTTCGGAGCTTATCGGAGACTGCAAGGTAGATGCACGGCGTCCGTACCCCTGCTTTCCTCCTTCCTATCCTTATTTTTTTCGCATTTTTTTTAGACTTATCATGCATTAGACAGTCAGACTGGTTGTATTTAGAGGCTCTAGACTTGTGACACCAGATGGTTGGGTTGTGTTTGGTTTGTTGATATATTGTCTTTCCGCACATTTCAGTGAATTAAGTATTTCTCTTGTAAATTTGAAGTTTATTCAGTATTAGCAAAATGGTTTATTAAAAGGAATTTACTGTGTTTAATTGCTTGAGTCGGGTTGCCTAGTATTGTGATAGGCGCCATCACGACCGAGGTATTTGGGGTCATGACACTTCCACACCAAGCAATTTATATATATTGGGTGAGCATATGGAGTGAGAAGGGTTGAGTTCTAATAGTTCAACTATAGATACTCTCCCATTATGTTACTCAATTAGTTATTCTCTCAGTAGTTGCATCTTCTTCTTGTCATGATATAACATAACGGGCTTCTTGTATTAGGTCATAGTTTCTAATCATTTAGATCTTAAGGAAAAAGGGCAAGTTCTGGATCACATAAAATTTCAGTTAAAGGGCTTTATTTTTAGTGCTTGTACTTTTTTGAATAAATGAACTTTATCCCCAATAATTTTTTCACTGGTGTCATTCATTATTGTGTTGAATTTGAAAATTTCTTAATACTTACCAAAAAGTATGGTTTGACTTTGTGTTCTTTGCCGTAAAGTCATGTTTTAAAATGTTAATTCCAATGGGTTGTTTTCTTGATTTTCCCCTTTCATTTTTCATTTGTTGGTTTTCACCGAATCAGGTAATTCTTTATACCTTTTCTTTTCTGAGTATTAGTTTTTATCTTGCAATACATTTTGGTAATATTTTTTTTAATCTTTCACTTTTATATGCTTAGACATAATTACATTGATTATGTGAGTATTTGAGTTTTACTTGATTTCATAAACATGGTTGTTATGTCTATAGTTGAGTACATATATTGTTAGTACATATGCAGTTTTAGTATAAATACAAACAAAACCTAAAAAGACCAAAATATTGAAAAAGTTATAATTAGGCAAATATTCATTAATGTCAGTACGTGGGCGATGGATCATTGATATTTGACTATTTCATCGTTAGCTATCTTCTAAAACATCCCAACTATTTTCGCATAACAATATTACAAGACAACTCTAATGAAGCATAGAAAAGCTTTATAGTAAATCTTTCGGAACATAAATAGCTCTAGATTATGAATGCGCGACGAAAGATGTTCTCATATGACTTATCACTCTGCTACTATATGCTTCTTGCTCTTGCAGATAAGACCCTACATAATTGAGAAAAATAAAATCACACCTATTTTCGAGCTATTCTTTGAGTCATCATTCACTACTTTTTAGCTTGTTGTAGTCTTGATTTTACACAGGCAATATACTTTTTTATAAATTGGGATAATATATTTTTACTATCCATACCAATCTATCATGAATTTGGTGGTTAAACTCTACTATGAAGTTGAATCATTTCAGGAAAGTAGAGGGATAAAGCAACACTAAAATTCATATCTTTTAATAAATGTATCAATTTCTTCTATGCTTTCCTCTTTATCTAAATTCTGTTTTATTATTTTCATATCTTATAAATATATTTTTATTGAGGTTTTGGCGCCTTTATCTGGATCTCATTTAGTTAAGTAGGGAGATAAATAAGAGCTCCTGGCTGTGATAAGGCTATTGTGAAGAAAGAACCATGACCACCCGAGAAAGATATCAACCTCTAAGAATTTTTTGTAAAACAAGACATCCAATAATTCTGAACAGTTCGGGAGATACATGAACTTTTTTATTAATTTTATCTTACATGATTACCTATTTTTTATCCGGTTCAATAATGAATATGATTTATTATGCAACTCAACCTTTCATATTCACCGATGAGTTTAAACTCTAATACTTTTTAGGAATTTTTACCTCCTATAGAAAAAGTTAACACCTTATTTATTTTAAATAAATACCATTTAAAAAAATTATATTCTATAGATACAAATGTTAATAGCAAAATATCTAATTTTGGTTACCTCCTAACCCTAAGCCACTAAATACGCTATTCAGTTACACTATTTGCTTTCTCTCTCTACTTTGGTACATGCCATTCTCTTCCCCCACTCCCCGAAAATACGATGCTCAATCTCAAAATTCCTCTCACCCATATCACCTACGTTTTCTCCGATCCCAATTTCTCCAATTCCATCGGAGCACGCATATATGTTACCACGTCAAATATGTTGACATATGGTTTCAAAAATTTGTACAGAGTCCATTCAGATTTTTTATGCTACTGTAGAGGTTAGGCAAACATCCGTTCATCCAATCTCCGTCGGAAATTAGGCTGCCAGATTTTTTATGCTGCCGGAAATTAGGCTTTGTTCTCTTCCATCCAATCTCAAAGTTTGGTGGATCCTGCTTCACAAGCCCAGTTCTTGATTTTCTATCGCGAATTATCTCTGACTTTCTTCGTTTCTCTATTGGGAATTTTTCTGGGCTGATTGTTGTTTCTGAAGTTGGTGTGAGACTGAGGAAATTGGGGTCTGAAGAGTCGGGTGTGGGATTGTATTTGATTGTATTCGTTGTCTTTTTTTCATTGTATTTCAATATATTTCGTTGTATTCCATGAATGTATTCATATATTTTTTTAATTAATATAATTTATGTATTCAGATGTATTATATAATTTCTCTGAAAATTGCTATATTTTTTGGGTATTTTTCGGTTCAGAATCTTTTTTATAACTGGAAATACAAAATTTGTATATTATAATTGAGTTTGTTGAGTTATATTAGGAGTCTATTATGTTAATTGATTCACTTTCCATTTAAAAACAGTGTAATCCCCTGTTTCACGCCGTGAATACAGTCGAATACAATAATCTGTCCAGCTGTAATTCCATGTTTCACGCCATGAATACAGTCGAATACACTCGAATGCAACAACTGATAAGCTGGACTTCCCTGATTCACGCCTATTTTTGCTATTGTATTCATGAATACAGTAGCTTAAATACATCTAATACATCTTATAATAACAGAAAACGTATCTACAGTCCGTAATATAACAAATGGTATCTATGGATAGCTAATTACCACTAAAAGATAGTGCTTTATGAAAATTTCTCTACTTTTTAATGTATAAAACAATTACTTATAGGTCTATATATGATGAAGCTTAAGATTTTGTGCATGACATCTATATTAAAAAAATGAGGCTTGACTATTCCCGAAAAGAGCAAACAACCTTGAGAAGACAATTTGCCAAGGCGCAATTTGATATTGTTATGGCTGAAGAATATGAGGAATATATAATTGATCAAAGAATGCTGCTTCCGACAACGTCAATTGGATTGATAACGTGATGGCTAGAAGAAAGAAGATAAAGTTGGTTGTATAGTATTTTTTCTACTTTATTCATGAAAGGTCTTAATGTTACGCGAGAATGCTAGCTTTTGGAATATTCAAATTTGTAACTATAATTAATATATAACAAAGTTAAATATTTCTCGATTATGTACACATTAACTATTTTTAGTAAATATTCTGTAGAAAATATTATGATATACACGTGCAACGCACGTGCAGAGAAACTAGTATAATATATATATATATATATATATATATATATATATATATATATGTGTGTGTGTGTGTGTGTGTGTGTGTGTGTGTACTAAATTGGTCATGTAGATCTTATACATATTGTAAAGTCACGTAGAAATCAAGAGTGTTATTCTTGAGAATAAAATTACTTTGAGAAAGTAATAGTGCAATATAAAGTCAAGATAGAAAATACTAATACAAGAAAATTATTTCTTGTTCTTCTACCTTTGAGTTGAGATTTTTGAGAAATAATTTCAACACAATATTTTCATTCAATTTGTCCGCGGGATTTCATTGATCAGAGTTGCTAGCAAGGATCAGTCACGGTGTGGATACGCATAAAATCTTCGCACTATTGAAGAAGTTGAAAACGAGACTCTCTTCACCAGGTACGTCTTAGATTCGATCTTTGACATGTAAATAAATTTTAAACGCGAAAAATTCTGCCTATGATTGTTATTGTTTTCCGACGACAGAAAATAAAGCAAAGAAGACTGCCGACAATTACAACCTAAAGCTTTCTAGACTTTCGAAGTTATTATGCTGACAGGAGACCCTTTTTGGCGACAACCATATAAAAATAGAAGTGGTTTTGTTGGAATCCTATTTTGCAAGAAAGCTACTACCAGTTTATCGTGTAGAAATAGTATTCACTAGCCACTTTTTGGTCATGTAAATAAGCAGTATCCTGAAGTTTTAAATTTCACAAGTGAAAATTTGAAGTTAAACTCCATAATATTGGCTATTTTTTTAATTACATAACTGAAAACTGGTTATTTGTGAATTTTTCCCGTTTATTTTTCACTTGATAATGAATAAGTAACTTAAAAACATAAGGAAACACTTTGTATCATACAAGTTTATTAAGGACTTCCAAGTTCCAACTACCAGAGTGTATAGTCCAACGAGCTGGGCCAAAATCAAGTATGTTAGTTGGCTAAATATAATAAAATATACTATGTGGTCATCCTACACTTGAATGCCGAACAAATTCAAAACTATTAATTAAATCCAAGAAGGAAAATTTGTCTCTTTGGTTATATATTTTCACCACGCCTTTCACTTTAAACTAGAGTCATTATGCACATGGCCCGACAGTTATATATATATAAATATAATCGCCTGCGTACTCAGGAACGTGGTGTATATTATAAAAAATGGAGAGAAGATGAGGCTGGCTCATGGCCATTTTTAAAAGCATTATCCTCCACTTTATGCTGTAGGAAGGGAACGCAGACCAACCTAAGCACAACTTTAAATATTCTCCACTTTTTGTCTTCCTCAATCATACATTACCTACTATCCCACTAAGCACCATTAGTTACAATCACACGTTAATAAACAACCAAATCTCAACTTATACATAGTCCACATCTGTTACATCTCAGGTCTCCCAACCTAAAAATCAATTCTTGAAATAGCTCTCCTTTCTCTGCTGACCTACTGCATGTAGGTGCTTCTTGGATACAGCTTCTGTGGGAAAGTGTTTAAGAGGTCCGAAATGCTCTTGTTTCTGGTTAATTGCATTCTCTTCTTTGCCAATATCTTAGCAGTATTTTCAGCATCATTGCCTCAAGATGCTGTTCATCTACTTGGGTTCCGCAGCAGTCTCCCAGAGTCCTCTCAACAATTGCTCCCTTGGAATCAGTCCGTCTCACACTGCCAATGGAAAGGTGTTTCCTGCTATACAAACAGGACTTCTCATGTCGAATCATTGAAGTTTACAGACTTCCTTCTATCGGGAATCTTGGAGAAGGCATTTCCCAAACTTTGTCGCCTTCCTCGATTGGTCTCCCTTGATCTCAGTGGCAACCATTTCACTGGTGGCATCCCCGCTATGCTCGCAAACTGCAGCCAGCTTGACACGATTCTCCTCAACGACAACAGATTTTCAGGATCCATCCCACCAGAGATTTTCAAATCAAGCAAGCTTTTACAACTTGATTTGGGTTACAATCAGCTCAATGGCACCATTCCTTCTGAGGTAGGCCTTTCTACAAGCCTTCAATATCTCGGGCTGTGGGAAAATTCCCTTAGTGGAAACATTCCAAATGAGCTATTTGATTTGCCAAACTTGACAGATCTCTACCTCCAAAGAAACAATCTAACAGGACCTCTTCCGGATTTCCCATCCTCGTGTTCACTTTCCCAGCTTTATATTTTTGAGAATAATTTCTCAGGTTCTTTGCCAATTACCCTGGGTAATTGTCACAACCTTACTGCATTTTATGCATCATCTGCTAATCTTGGAGGAGTTATTTCCGCAGAGGTTTTTAGAGGCCTTTCAAACCTCAAGAATCTCTCTTTAAATGACAACCACTTTATAGGAGAAATTCCTGAAACCTTATGGACAGGGAGCTTACAAGAGTTAGTTCTTTCCCTCAATAAGTTTAATGGAAGTATATCCGAAAAGATTGGTGGCTGTCATCAGATAACTTACATTGATTTGTCAGTTAACAAATTAACTGGTCAGATTCCCAGGTCAGTTGGACGTCTGAAGAATTTGAACAATCTTTATCTGTACAAAAACATGCTTAGTGGTTCATTACCAGCAGAACTTGGAAACTGCTCTTCTCTTGTTGAAATCAATCTCATCAATAACTCCATCAGTGGGGAACTTCCTTCAGAACTTTGCAACCTTCAAACCCTAGCAAAATTTTATGCATTCAAAAATCAAATTCGAGGCCAAATTCCAGAATGCATAGGCAGAATAAGCGGGCTGGAGGAGCTAGCTCTTTATGAGAATAAATTGACTGGCAAGATACCACATGGAATTACAAATATGACGAAACTGACATTTCTTTCTTTGGCTCATAATAACCTTATCGGAGAGGTACCACCAGATCTGGGGAAAAATAATTTTCCTGGCTTATTTAAGGTTGATTTAGGTTATAATAACTTCAGCGGACAGATTCCTTCTGAACTTTGTAATGGAAACAGGCTTGCAGTCCTGACTCTTGAATACAACCATTTCAATGGAAGCTTCCCAACAAGTATCACAAAATGCAAATCTGTATATAGAGTGAACCTTCTCAACAACAATCTGCAGGGGAGTATTCCTGAAGACATTGAAAAGAATGAGAATATTTCTTACTTGAATGTTCGAGGAAATATGCTTGCAGGAAGGATTCCAGCAGCGTTTGGCTACTGGACTAATCTTTCAACAATTGATCTTTCAGAAAATATGTTTTTTGGCTCCATACCTGCAGAATTTGGAAAGCTGCAAAATCTTGTAAGACTGAGCATTTCTTCAAACAGACTGAAAGGACAAATTCCACTTCAGTTGAGTTACTCTGCGAAACTGGCCGAGTTGGATCTCAGCAACAACAGTCTTTCAGGAAGAATTCCGAAAGAAATAGCATCATCTTCAGTATTGACAAATCTTCTGCTGCAGGACAACAAACTTTCTGGTGCTCTTCCGGACACTTTCTCCTCCACACAAAAGCTTATAAAGCTGCAGCTGGGGAACAACTTGCTCGAAGGCCCAATTCCATGCAGTCTGAGTAAACTTAGGCAACCTAATTTTGCACTGAATCTGAGCATGAATAAGTTTACTGGTGAAATTCCTAGATGCCTAGGCAATCTAGACACATTGGAGGTCCTTGATATATCAAGCAACAACTTGTCTGGTGCAATACCATCAGAAATGGACAAGATGATAACCCTGTCATTTCTCAACATATCATTTAATAACTTGTCAGGGCAGATACCCATTTCATGGGAAAAACTATTAAGTTCACATCCAGGATCTGTCCTGGGAAATCCAGGGCTCTGCTTATCAGGCGCTCAAGGTAGTAACTGCAAGCATGTGAAAAAATCACATGTAAAATGGAAGACCTTGGCTGGTGTAATTAGTGGATGTGTGCTGTCCATGGCAATCATAGTTGCTGCAATATACTTACTAGTTACTCGGCGCCCTAAGCATCGGCTCATCAAGTGTCAATCAGGACTTGATGATCTACCAGATGGTATAAGTTTTGAGGACATTGTACATGCAACAGAGGGCTGGAGCGAAAAATACGTTATTGGAAGAGGCAAGCATGGAACAGTTTATAAGATGGAAACTGTGAAATCCAAAAAGCATTGGGCTGTCAAGAGGATTGACTTAGCTGAGAGAGCATTCAATGATGAAATGACAACCCTAAATCTAGTCAGACACCGCAATTTGGTAAAACCGGGAGGATACTGCATCAGACAAGGATATGGCTTCATTCTAACAGAATTCATCCCTGGAGGGACTCTTCATCATTCCCTTCACCAGAGTAAACCACCTGTAGTCCTGGACTGGGAGTCCCGCCATCGTATTGCTCTTGGTATTGCTCAAGGTCTGTCATATCTTCACCATGATTCTGTCCCTCAAATTATTCACAGAGATCTCAAATCAGATAATGTAATGTTGGATTCTGAGATGGAGCCAAAGATTGGAGACTTCGGGATTGCTAAAATAGTATCAGATTCTGATGAAACCGCATCAAAGTCCACAATCGTTGGGACACTAGGATACATTGCTCCAGGTTAGCCACACTTTACTATGCCAATTTTCAGTGTAATTTAGTTGGCATATTACTTTGATGAGCTAATAACTTTGATTACTTTCTCCCTTGACCCCCTCCATGTCCTTCTCCCTCCATCAATTCAGAGAATGCATACTCAGCTCAATTGACAGAAAAAAGTGATGTTTATAGCTATGGAGTTGTTCTACTGGAGCTCTTCTGCAGAAAATTGCCAGTAGATCCCAGCTTTGAGGAAGGATTAGACATCGTTTCCTGGGTTAGGAAGTACTTGCAGAGAAGCAACAATTTCTTTTGTTTTCTTGATGAAGAAATTCGTCTCTGGGATGCAGAAGAACAATGGAAAGCCCTGAAAATAGTGGATCTGGCACTTCAATGTGCTCAACTCGAGGCAAATGCCAGGCCTGCGATGAGGGATGTAGTAAGGTCTCTTGTCGAGTTAAATCATAGATGTAAAGAGAAGAAATGAAGCTTTTAACACTGTAACTCGGGTTCATTTTCCCAACTTCCAACATAATACATGATCCTGAATCTTTCAGTTTAACTTTCTGACAACCAATGAAACAACACAGATTAAAAAAATGAATGATGTTTCCAATACAGATTTAAAGTGTGTCCTATTACTTCCTCCAGCTGCTCCAAATTTTGAACAGTTTTCAGTTTTTAAAATTAAGAAGGGAGCAAGAATGGACAACGCATTGCTACAATCTACTCCTGATTTTGTGGCTTATAAAAAGAAAGAAGACTAAAAAAACAGCACTTCACAATCAGCAGAAAAGGATAGATTTTGTTGGATTTGATAGAACTAATGATGATGGCTCCTGCAAAAGAATGCAAGAATCGATGATCTCTGCCTTACCCTTCTTCTTTGAGTACCAGACTTCCAGTGACTGAACAATTTTCAGAAAAGAAAATTAAAGAGGATATGATGAATAAAAATAGCTTGTGGAACAATCATTATATTTCATGCAAATACAGATTTATATAAGGCATACGTAACTCAGGTGTGGTTATGACAGATGTTTTCCATCATATTTAAGAACTATAACTTCCTTATCTAGAGTTACCCTGTCTCTTGTTTATGGAGAGTATCGACAATATTACTTGCTCGGCTGCAGCCGATGCATACAACAGTTCGTGACATGTCTGTTTTACATTAAATCTTTCACTTGATCATGGTTAATTAATATGTATTTTCACCTCAAAGTTTCACCTTAATATGGTCGATAAACTTCTAACAAGACTTGACTGAGGAATGGCAAATCATATAGGAAAATTAGAATGAGAGTATAATAATAGTCTTTGGAGAATTAATCAGAATTCAGTAGAAAGGAAATATCCAAGAGGTGCAAGAATAAATTGGTACTGCTACTGCAAGTGACAAACAGACGAAAGGCATATCTCAGTTATGAAAACTGCAGCAGCAGAGCTAGTACAAAACGCACTATTCATCAGAGTAGAAAAGTCCAATTGAAACCTTTTCAGATTCATTTTTCGTATTGTTTATCCAATTTACTTGGATGTGCATTACAAACCAATCCGCACAAGATTTTGACTACTTTCAGGTTTAATTTTTTTCACCAGAACTTGCATTGGGCATATTCATATGACAACACGACATATGTTGACAAGTCTCGGACTTCTAGTAATAGAGCTTCCGTTTTTGAGTCAGATCCACTAGATTGCCAACCTTCTACCCTTAGAAATGCACTTTTGTGCCAAAAGATTTGAGACAAAGTCCAGAAATTTGGTGCTTGCTCCAGTACCAAAGCTAGTGCTAGCAGCTAAAAAGAGAAAATATGAAATACTGAACCACGTTAGAGAATAGTTTAGATACGCTATAACCAAGATTGAAGAGGAGAAAATTCTGCATAGTTTCTCAAAAAAGCTAATCATATTCTACATCCGATCACATTGCTGAAGTTACAAGTATAGATAAATCATAAATGTTTGGAACACTAGTGTCCAAAGGTAAGGTCCCTAGAAACAAGAATCTACAGATATGCTCCAAGAAACAAAGTAACATACGCAAAAGCTTTTCAAATAGCCTCAAGGTGAAGAATTTAAAACAAGGTTAGACTTGTCTGCTTCCTCAGCCTAATAAAGCATGAATCAGGACTCAGGAGTTTGTCTACTTTGAATTTAGAGAACTACTCCATTACTGGGCTATGTTACCTACAGCTAACTTGATTAAATTAACAGCTCAATGAACCTATACATTGTCTTGTTGGGTATTCGAATACTTACAACCAGCTAAATTGAAGAATAGTTCATTAATATACATGGTCTATGGATTAAGGCACAGAGCCACATGACAATATTTTCAATGAAAGTAAAACATTACCATGAGGAGGACGGAATGTCCAATCACATCATAAAGAATTAGATACATAATAGAGCTTGGCAATCTGTTTGATTAACACTAAACAATGCTAAAATTTAGAAAAAGCTCGAGTTCTACAATTTATTCATGTTTTCTTCACAAGAACTGTTCCAACCAATCATGATAATGTATATCTGTCTGCAAGAATATTTCAACGTAACATATTCTTTTTTATTTGATTTTACATAATATTAAATGAAATAAAGGACCTAAAAGTCAGGTTACTAGACAAATATTGATAAGTTCCATACTACATCTGTTTGCCTCTTTTTGTCAATCAATACAACTATACATGATAAGGGAACAAACTTAAAGGACTATATGATGTATACCAGCTTTTGCATATGATCATGATGGATCAATGCCTAGTTGACACAAACATGACAAACAAAGCCTACGGCAAGATGCGGAACCGACAAAACCTCTCCCCATACACTGAAGTCCATTGCCCCCATTCTGGATAGTGGGTACTCAACAGGAAGTCAAAAATATACTGAGTATCCAATTACCAAGTCTGCCAGATGAGTTCCAAAACTGGAGATTTCAAGAGGTGTTTTTATTGTTTAACCAGCTGACTAGGAATGGCAATGGGGCGGGGCGGGTTTGGCAAAACCTACAAAAATTTCAACCCGCCCCGCCCCGCATAGTTATTTTTTCAGTTTTCAACCCGCCCCGCCCCGCCTCTTTTTTCTAAAACAAACTAGTTTGATATTTATTATTTTATAAAATGGAGAGTTTAATAGAATCACATAAACATAAAACTGAGAGAGTATTACGCTGATCTTCCAAAATAAATGGGTTACTATCATTTCCTATCAAGATTAAGAGAATGGATTTGGATTTAATTAATTCAAACTCAAGATTAAGCCCCAACTACTTATCAAACAAAAGTTGTGGTTTGACCGATTTATCGTAAATACTAAATAAAGTGAATAAGAAGCAAGAGACCAAATGTTGAGGAAGAAAGCCTAAGGTTATGGATTTCTTTGACACTTCTGTTATGGCAGTAAATGATATAGTTTAATGGATGGAATTTAGAAACTTCATAGATAGTAGAAGTTCGAATTTCTGGCTGAGAATAATACTCAACCCATCGTTCTATATGGTGTCATTGATCTATGATTTAAGTTCAAAAAATATGGTTGACTTGGGCATACATCAGGTGTGCAATTTATTCGAAAAAATGCTCAAATCTCAAAGCAGCATGTCACGAAAAAAAGTTACAGAAGATAAAATTCAAAGTTGCCCCGCATTGAACCCGCATTAAACCCGCAACCCGCCCCGCTCCGCTTTAAAAATTTTAAAAACTGTTTTAACCCGCCCCGCACCCGCATAAGAGTAAACCCGCCCCGCACCCGCATCAAACAAAACCCGCCCCGCCCCATTGCCATCCCTACAGCTGACTAAAGAAACTATTTTGTGTTGCTAGGTAAGATTTTTTCTAATGTTTATATATACTATATTATTGAATTCCCTTGGCTTCTTCGTTTGTTTAGTTCTTCATATTTTGACTCCTTTAATAAAAACCCTGGTTCCTCCACTGTAAACAGCTAACTAGTGAAAGAAATAAGCAAGGATATGAAGAGAAAAGGAAGAACTCAGAAATATATTTTTTGAGCAATAAACTAGGGAGATGGAAACCATTATTTGATCGCGAAGCTACGAACCAAGAGCACACAAGAGACAGCAGCAACATCAGACTTCAGTCACACTCATAAGTCATAATACGCCATCTATTCTGTTGTTTTCCACTTGCTTTTTTAGATTTTAGAGAGCTGATATACGTTCATTTAGAGATATATGAATCCTTTTCACCTAGACATTCAACGTCAAGCCATCTCAAAATCATGTGCCTCTAGAAAGAAAACAAATTGAAATAAAAAGATAAGAATGAGAGAGAGAAAAAAAGATCTTCTAATTGAAATTGAAGAAAACTCAAAATCAATTTACTCCAGCAGCTTCTGGTTTCTAAGATCGTAAAGTCCAAGCATTAGAAAACTAATATTGCCCTTAAAGGTCAAATTATCAAATACAATCACGTCACCACAGGATTCAGTTGTGCTTTTAGAAACGGAGGAAGCAAACTAAGGTGAAATTGGGAATAGCATTGTACCTGGTGATTGATGGAGTCATAGGAACCAAAAGCAACTCGAATTATAGAAGCAAATGCTTGGCAATAACAGTTACGTACTTCATTTGAAATAAATAAATTTTCATTTCTAAACATAAAAATAGATTGGATTGATATAATTTTGTGAAGCTCTTTTCGTTTTGTTTCCAATTTGCTTGAGGCCTGATGATGAGGGGAAAATCAATCAGGGAAGCTAATTCGAGGAAAGGGGGAAACAGAGCTCAGAAATCTTCGGTTATTCAGCTTCGATTATTTCTCATAAACTTCAGATTGTTTCTCTTTAATCCTCAATTTTGCTACCTCGGCCGTTCTACTTTCAAGAAAGTGTCATAGTTTCTCACGGGTTAAAATTCAATTACTAGAGACAACCCAAGTTTGTGGAGCTGCAATTTGAGATAATTCAAGCTCATACACTATAATATATACCCCTAAGTCTCATTCATAACTCAATGTGAAAAATCCATCTCGACTCCTTGTTGGGTATTAGTGTTGCATTGATCGTTTCATAACCTTAAATAGAGGTGTGGCTTCGACGAGATCATTGGCGCCGTTGCCGGGGAGCTAAAAACGGATTTAGCTATATATTTGGTTTCGTGTGTGAATTGTCTTCTTTTTTTTCCCGTGTCACTGAATTGTGTGAATCAATTGTAGGTGCAACAATGGCCCTCAACAATGGCATGCCTTTGGATGATGTGGGCGCTGAAGATGACCAAGTTGAAGAGGTCCCTCTTGAACCTCAAGCAAGTAGAAGAGGCCGGCCGCCTCAAGACAACGTCCCAGTTCCACCCCCACATCCACCAAAAGCGGCTCCACACCGGGTGTTTCCAAACGAAGGGTATGCAAGTGCCATAGTCTCGCCCCGCATTAGGGCGGGCAACTTTCAAATCACGAATGTAATGCTCACATTGCTAGAGCAACGGGGATTCTTCACCGGGGCTCCGAGTCAAAATGCATACAAACACTTGAAGGAGTTTGTGGACACTTGTTGGGGGAGTAAACAGACAAACGTCTCCGAGGATTCTTTAAGGTTGAGGCTATTTCCTTTCTCTCTATGGGGAAAAGCCTTGGATTGGTTAGAGAGATTGCCAAACCATTCCATCCATACATGGGATGAGTCGGCGGAGAAATTTATTTCCAAGTTTTTTTTCTCCCGGGCATATGGCTACTCTTAGAGACGAGATTTTAGCATTCAAACAAGAGCCCAATGAGCCATTGCATGAAATATGGGAGAGGTACCGAACTATGGTCAAAGAGTGCCCCAATAGTGACATGACGGAGGCTATAATTCAACAAACTTTCTATCGGGGGATCAATGCTACCAACCAGTCCATGGTAAATCAACTTGCCGGTGGAAATTTCATGACAATGCCGTATGCGGAAGCTTGTGAGATTTTAGATGAAATGGCAAATACTTCATCGGCATAGCAAAGTAGGGCAATTTTTCCTCAAGGTGATCCGAACGTGATTCACCTACATAAAGAATTGCATGATCATGGGCAAGCAATTGCCGAGTTGACCACCACAATGAACCAATTAGCCAAGGCTCAACTTCAACAAGTGCAAAGTCCTAAGCAGGATGCCATGGAGGGAGTTAGTATGATGGTGAACAAAAGAAGGCCCAAAGGTCCACAAGTGCAAAAGCGCGTGGAGAATTATGTGCAAGAAGATAGTGGGTTTAATCAAGATGAATCTTACAATGAACAAGAGGAGGAAGTGCAATACGTGAACAACTTTCAAGGGCAAATAAACAACTCTCGTGGCCCGAATCAACAACAATGGTGACCTCAAGGTAATCAAGGTAATTGGAATTCTAACAACCAAGGTAATTGGAGTAGTGGCAACAATCAAGGGAATTGGAATAATAATAACAATCAAGGAAATTGGAGTGGTAAAAATAACCAAGGCAATTGGAGTGGCAACAACCAAGGATATTGGGGAGGTAATAATCAAGGGTGATGGAACAATAATCAAGGCAATCGGGGGTCGGGCTTTCAAAGGCCCCCGATGTATCAACAATCGAGCAACTCGCCTCCTTATCCTTCCATGGTCCAAGTTCTTCCAACAATGAGATGGGACGAATTGAGAATATGTTTAAACAAATGACAGAGAAGAATGCCGACTTCGATGCCCAACTAGCCTCACACAACACATCAATTCTCAACTTGGAAGTTCAAATGGGGCAAATCTCTCAAGCTCTAAACGCTCGTCCTAAGAGGGCACTACCAAGTGACACGGTGGTGAACCCAAAGGGTGGAAGTAATACGGGACATGCCATGGCAGTTACTACAAGGAGTGAAAAAGGTGGGGATGCACCCACCTCAAGTTAAAGGAAACTTGTGGATGATGAGCAATTGGTACAAAAAGATGAGACCCTGAACAATATGGTGCAAGGAAACGATGAAGTGCGGATTGATATTGATGACAATGTGGAAGAAGCTCAAGAGGAAGTGAACCCGTCTAGGGATCACATTGTTAACATACCAGAACCAGTAGTGCAAAAGGCTAAGGCACTAATGCCTAGGCCTCCTCCTCCATATCTTCAAAGGCTTGCCAAGAAAAATGGCGAGAATCAATTGAAAAAGTTCATTGACATGATGAAGAGTCTATCAATCAATGTGCCATTGGTTGAAACCTTGGAGAAAATGCCCGGTTATGCAAAGTTTATGAAGGATTTAGTGACAAAAAAGCAGTCGATGATTTGTGAAACTATAAAAATGACTCATCAAGTGAGTGCAATTGTGCATTCAATGGCTCCGAAATTGGAAGATCCTGATACTTTCACAATCCCTTGTACCATTGGAAGTGCCGAGTTTGCTAAAGCTCTTTGTGGTCTTGGGACAAGTATCAATTTGATTCCCTACTCGGTTTTCAAGACTTTGGGAATTGGGCAACCAAGACCCACATCTATGAGATTACAAATGGCCGATCGTACCATGAAGAGACAATTGGGAGTAATTGAGGATGTATTGGTTCGTGTTGATAAATTCATTCTTCCGGTGGATTTTGTCATTCTTGATTGTGAGGTTGACTATGAGGTACCAATTATTCTTGGGAGACCTTTCCTTGCTACGGGGAAGGCTCTAGTTGATGTTGAAGCTGGAGAACTTACCTTCCGGGTTGGTGATGAGAAAGTGGTTTTCCATGTGTGTAAGTCTATGAGGCAACCCAATAGCAATGAGGTGTGCTCTTTCGTGGACTTGGTGACCCATATGATTGTAGATGAAACAAGTGTTGTGATAAATGTTGATGATACATTGGAGGTCGTCTTGCTCAACTTTGATGATGAAGAGATGGAGGGCTTCGTGGAATGTGTGAACTCTTTACAAGGATTGGGGTCATACACTTATGAGCCCCGCAAATTGTCCTTGGATCTTGAAAATAGGACAACTCCTCCTATAAAACCTTCAATTGAAGAGCCTCCTATCTTGGAGTTGAAGCCATTGCCTCCACATCTTCGGTATGAATTTCTTGGCCCTTCTTCTACTTTACCGGTTATTCTTTCCTCTTGTTTGACTAACGTGCAGGTAGACTCTACATTGACAGTGCTACAAAAGAGGAAGAAGGCTATTGGATGGACATTTGGCGGATATTCGGGGGTTTGCATGCACAAGACTAACTTGGAGGAAGGTGACAAACCATTTATTGAACATCAAAGGAGACTCAATGAAGCCATGCAAGAGGTTGTCAAAAAGGAGATCATCAAGTGGTTGGATACCGAGGTTGTCTATCCCACTTCCGATAGTTCGTGGACTTCTCCTATTCAATGTGTCCCAAAGAAATGGGGCATGACGGCAGTTACCAATGATAAGAATAAGTTGATTCCTATAAGAACGATGACCGGGTGGAGAGTGTGTATGGACTATCGTAAGCTCAACAAAGTCACAAGGAAAGACCATTTTCCACTTCCTAGATCAAATGCTTGATAGATTGGCCGGTCGTGCTTTCTATTATTTCCTTGATGGTATTCCGGCTACAACCAAATTCTTATTACTCCAGAGGATCAAGATAAAACTGCATTTACATGTCCTTATGCTACTTTCTCCTTCAAGTGGATGCCATTTGGGCTGTGTGATGCACCGGCGACTTTTCAAAGGTGTATGATGGCGATCTTCAGAGACATGGTGGAGTATTACCTTGAAGTATTCATGGATGACTTCTCGGTGGTCGGGAATTCTTTCGATGATTGTCTCACAAACTTGGATAAAGTGTTGGCAAGATGTGAAGAAACAAACTTGGTGCTCAATTAGGAGAAATGGCATTTCATGGTCGAGGAAGGCATTGTCCTTGGCCACAAAATCTCAAAGAATGGCATTGAAGTCGACAAGCAAAAGATTGAGGTGATTTCTAAACTTCCACCTCCAACTTCGGTGAAAGGTGTGCGGAGTTCTTAGGCCACGCAGGATTTTACCAGCGTTTCATCAAGGACTTCTCTAAAGTGGTGAACCTGTTGTGCAAGATTTTGGAGAAAGATTCTAAGTTTCACTTCAATGATGATTTCATAAGAGCTTTTGAATTACTAAAGTTCAAGTTGACTACTACTCCCATTATCACCGCTCCAAATTGGAGTGTTCTTTTTTAGCTCATGTGCGATGCAAGTGATGTAGCGATAAGGGCTGTTTTGGGGCAACGCATCAACAAGATTTTTCATCCGGTCTATTATGTAAGTAAGACCATGAATAGTGATCAAGGCAACTACACCGTTACGGAGAAAAAGCTCCTTGCTATTGTATTTTCTATTGAGAAGTTCCGCCCGTACTTGATAGGCGCAAAAGTGATTGTCCATATGGATCATCCGGCACTTCGTTACCTTATGAGCAAGAAAGATTCCAAAGCCCGGTTGATGAGATGGGTGCTTTTGTTTCAAGAGTTTGATATAGACATCCAACATCGAAAATGAAATGAAAACTAAGTGGCGGACCACTTGTCTCTTTTGGAGGAGGAGGGGAGGCCGCATGATGGCTTGAAATTAATGACTCCTTAGCCGATGAGCAACTCTTGGCTATGTCAATAAAGAGGTGCCATGGTTCGCGGATCTAGCAAATTTTCTTGTAAGTGGTATCATCCCGGATGAGTTCTCTTCAAACCAAAGGAAGAAGCTTAAACGGGATTGTCAAGACTATTATTGGGATGAACCGTACCTTTTCAGGATTTGCACGGATGGAGTGATTAGAAGATGTGTACCGGAGGAGGAACAATGTGAAATTCTTGGGGCTTGTCATTCTTCATCGTATGGTGGCCATCATGGTGGAGCAAAACGGCGGCCAAAGTGCTAAGTTGCGGTTTCTATTGGCCCACTCTTTACAAAGATGCAAGTGATCTCGTCAAGCATTGTGATGAATGTCAAAGGGCCGGTGGAATCTCAAAGAAAAATGAA